AAAGGCTGAGAGACCTAGGGCTGTTTAGCCTGGAGTAAAGAAGACTTAGAGGGGATCTCATTGATGCTGAGCAATTGGGCAGGTGTCAAGAGGATGAGACCAGACTCAGTGGTGCCCAGTAGAAGGGGACAATGGACACACACTGGAACACAGGAAATTCAGTCTGAACACGAGGGGAAACTTCTTTCCTTTAAGGGTGCCAGAACCCTGGAAGAGGCTGCCCAGAGAGGTGGTGGAGTCTCCTTCTCTGGAGACATTCAAAACCCACCTGGATGCATTCCTGTCCAACCTGCTCTGGGTGACCCTGCTTTGGCAGGGCATTGGCCTAGATGATCTCCAGGGGTCCCTTCCAACCCTCCCACCATTCTGTGTTTTTGTGTGAACCTGTGATTCTTGGAGCACATCTGCCATACCTCTGTATCTGGAGCCTTGTTATGTTTGCTTGGGCATCCCGGTCATGTTCTCAGTGGGGTTTTCCTCTTGGTGGGATGAAGGTTGGAGCTGCACAGTGGCTGTCTTGAGTGCTCCATGTGCAGAGCAGATATGGGGCTCCAACAGTTAGGACTCATCCTGGCTGATGAAGATATGGTCATCTTTGAAGCAGATCACAGCAAACTGGCCCTTAGTCATCCTTCTTCTCGGCTGTTCTAAGTAGTAACTTCCTTGTACTGTTAGAGTATCAAATTTATGAATTCTTAGGGCTGTTCCCTACTGTAAGAGATGCTCTGACATCCATACTGCATTTTGCTTCACCTTTTCTCTGCTTCCATTTCCTTTGCTCGAGATCTTTTGATTAAATGAAGACTTCAGGAATTGTCTATTTTTCATTACCATTATCATTTAATCAAGCTATCCTTGAACACTCAAACTTAAGGTCTCTCATCCATATCCTCTAGTCCTCCACGCCGTGCACAGTTTCATTCTTAATAACTTTTCCCCCGATATCAAGTCGAAATCTGCTTTCCTAAGCTCTTTACCATTTGTTCTTTATCACAAGTGTTGCTGAGCACTCATAAAATCCCCTCTCGCGGAGTCATTGCTATCTAGCAGCTTTCCCCTAATCTGTGATTACTTTATTTTTCCTATCAAGTAAAAGAGGGAGGCTTTTTTTTTGATTCTTACCAGTATTCAGCGAACCGCTGTTGTCTTGTCTCTGCCAAGAAATTAAAGCCTATTAGAAGATGTCAACCGCCAGGACTCAGCTCTCTAATCAAGGTAAAGTTTGCTGGAGATTAAGGCACGGGGCTTTAGGAGAGATCTGAAATGGTGATTAACGCCAGGTGCCGGGAATCAAAAATTCTTGATTACACCTTTCGCTAGCGCCGACCTTTGCTACAGCCTCGAACAAGCAATTTAGTCCCTGCTATAGGAAACGCTTACAAACACCATCAAGCTGTTGTGGGATAAGGAGTTGCTGGAGGTCAGCACATCTGAGCTCTGGTAGTTGGCTGCTGGTTTGTACGTGGCCGTTCTCCCTCTAAAAGTTTTCTTCTGTTTATGTTGGTTTAGCACGGCTGGGTTTTAAAAGCATTTCAATAGTTGTTCCCTTCAGTTTACTCAAAGCTCCTCATATCAAATTCAAGCTGCTGGGCCTCTCCTTCTGCCATCTGAAAGAGGCACAATGGTATAATTCACATTTTTTTTGTGAATGCTGTGTTTCAAAAGCACTGAATAAATAAGTAAATAAGCTCATAAAGGAAGACGGAAGACTGGAGCGAGTGCAGAGGAGGGCAACGAAACTAGTGAAGGGCCTAGAAGACAAATCATATGAAGAGCGGCTGAAGGAGCTGGGGCTGTTTAGTATGAGGAAGAGGAGGCTGAGGGGAGACCTCATCACTCTCTACAACTACTTGAAAGGACACTGTAGAGAGGTTGGTGCTGGTCTCTTCTCACAGGTAATTAACAATAGAACGAGAGGGAACAGCTTCAAGCTCCAACAGGGTAGGTTTAGATTGAACATTAGGAAGGAATTTTTCACTGAAAGAGTGGTCGGGCATCGGAACAGGCTGCCCAGGGAGGTGGTGGAGTCACCATCCCTGGCTGTGTTTAAGGGCCGTTTAGATGCAGTGCTAAGGGACATGGTGTAGGGGAGGACTTTGTAGAGTAGGGGAGATGGTTGGACTCGATGATCCCAAGGGTCTCTTCCAACCTCAATGATTCTATGATTCTATGATTCTAAGACTGCCATTAATTGGCAGACATGAAAAGCTACAGTAAGTTAGTTTAATGTGGTCCCATCAACCTTGACAGCATTCCCTTAAGGGATATCGCAGAATCACAGAATCACATGGGGTTGGAAGGGACCTCTGGAGATCATCCAGTCCAACCCCCCTGCCAAAGCAGGTCCACCCAGAGCAGGTCCCACAGGAACTTGTCCAGGCGGGTTTTGAATGTCTCCAGAGAAGGAGACTCCACCACCTCCCTGGGCAGCCTCCTTCAGGGCTCTCCCACCCACACAGGAAAGAAGTTCCTCCTCATGTTGAGGTGGAACTTCTTATATTCAAGTTTGTGCCCATTTCCTCTTGTCCTGTCACTGGGCACCACTGAAAAAAGACTGGCCCCATCTTCTTGACACCCATCCTTTAAGTATTGATAAGCATTGATCAGATCCCCTCTCAGTCTTCTCTTCTCCAGACTAAAAGGACCCAAGTCCATCAGCCTCTCCTTATAAGGGAGATGCTCCAGGCCCCTCATCACCTTTGTAGTCCTCTCCTGCACCATCTCCAGCAGTTGCCTGTCCTTCTTGAACTAGGGAGCCCAGAACAGGACATTGGTGGTTGTCACTCGAAGTGGGTGACGTTAGGTCTATTATTTCTGAGATGAGCTCGGTGGTGGTCTCTCTGCTCTCTTCCCGGGTGACTCTGCTGTTTCTGGGTTTGATAGAGCTGATTCACATTATCAGTCTGCAAAAGCCAGGGAATAAAATTGCCCTCCTTTGCACTTCTCTCCATGCAGCCTCTTTGGAGAGTCAATCTTCAGACTTAACTGCTGGTGGGTTCCCCCGCGGAAGCAATAACTGCATCGGCCCAAATGTGTCAGCTCTAGATGGATGGAGTCGACGCTACAGAGGCTTTAGGGAGCAAATTGCTCAGATTTGAAAGAAATCATGCTACTAAAATTGACAGGAACTCCTCAGCCGGTCCTCTGAAGGCAAGCTGCCTCCTCTGGAGGGCTGAACGTGGAGGTAGAAAATTATGGACAATTAAGCGGACCTCGTTGAAGTGTTTGGGAAAATGGTTAGCGGTAAGGCATGGCTAATAAATGCTAAGTGCTCTGGAAATGTTAGAGATGTCTCAATTGCAAAAAAAAGAAAAGTCTTTTTGTAGTGAAGAAGAGCTGGTTTTCAGGGCACAGAGGGTTGCTTTCATCCCTGGAGGTATTTAAGAAATGTGTAGATGTGGCACTTCAGGGCATGCTCTAGTGCCCGACATTGTTGGGTTGGGGTTTTGTGTGTGTGTGTGTGTGTGTGTGTATGGTTGGACACGATGATCTCAATGGTCCCTTCCAACCATGAAGATTCTGTGATTCTGTATATTGGGAGATCCAAGGTCACACACTTGTTGTTGCTGCTGCTGCGTCAAACAGAGATAAAAACAATCCCGGCCTTTCCAGGAGTGAGATTAAAATATAGAAGATGGCGAAGGACTCACGTTCATTGATGAAGAGGGCAGTTTAAATACCATACATGTTTCTCCCTTTTGGACAGAGTACCTCAATCCATTATTGCTCCTGATAATCAGTCCCTAATCATTTTGATACATACAAATTTGAAAGGAAGGCTAATTTCATTGCCTCAGATATAAGCTAAAGAAATTATGAGGTAATTTCTAGAAGAAACTCCTATGTGTTAAACAGATGGCATCACTCAGATAAAGCTGTTTTGCAGGAGGAGATGGCAAACATTTTGTGTTAAAATATTGCCAGAATTGGCGTGCCGTTCTGCGTATGCAGGAATGGAATCCTGGGATGAACCAATAATGCATAATAAAACTATATCATAATATAGATATCCATAACACAGTTTGATATCGGCATAATATATATACATTGCTTTTTTCAGTGATATCTCTAGCCTTCAAGCTGGAATGTGCTGCTGTTCAGTTTAGAGATGGAGAACCCACCTGTGGGAATGGAGTGACCAACTCCAGAATGAACTTTACCTTTTCAAAGGCATTTCTGGCACCCTGAATTTTTTTAATGGGGGTTTTATTTTTAAAAAGGCATCTTTTCAGTACATCTCAAATAGAGCAGTCAGTGATTTTTGGATAGATAAACAAAAATCGTACCCAAGCTGTGGATTTTCACCAGTTCCCCATTTTGTCTGTTCTTCTCCAGCCATTGAGTCTCTCCAGCTGTTGGCATTTAATGTTTTTGGGTTTTTTGAAGGCTACCATGTAGGCCTTTTCTACTCTTCATGCCTCATGTCGGTGCAGTCTACAGTCATTCCCCTGCTGCTGGTGCTTGGCTCTGAGATGTAGGAATGGGAAATGATGATTCAAGGACTGAAGCATCTCCCTTATGAGAAGAGGCTGAAAGAACTGGGACTCGTTAGTCTGGAGAAGAGAAGGCTGAGGGGAGACCTTATTAATGCTGACAAGTATCTCAAGGGCGGGCTGAGGGAGGAGGGAACCAGACTCTTTTCAGTAGTTGCCAGTGAGAGGACAAGGGGCAATGGGCACAAGTTGGAACATAAGAGGTTCCACTTGAATATGAGGAAGAACTTTTTCACGGTGAGGGTGACAGAGCCCTGGAACAGGCTGCCCAGGGAGGGTGTGGAGTCCCCTTCTTTGGAGATTTTCAAGCCCCGCCTGGATGCTCCTGAGTAACATGCTCTGACAAGCTCTGGGTGGTCCTGCTTTAGCAGGGGAGTTGGACTAGATGATCTCTGTGGTCCCTTCCAACTCTAAAAATTCAGTGAAATTCAGTGAAAGGCAACACTAATATGTTTAGAATAACTACATGGTTTAACAACATTGCGTTCTTCCCCTTCTGTTTTCCAGATTTATCCAGGAGATAGAGCATGCCATGGAGCTGGGCCCAACCAAGCAGTGTCCGCTCCGCGAGTTCCTCACCATGTACATCAAGAACATCTTCCTCAACCAGGTCCTGGCTGAGATCAATAAAGAGATCGAAGGTGTCACGAAAGCATCTGATCCCCTGAAAATCCTGGCTAATGCAGATACCATGAAGATCCTGGGTGTGCAGCGGCCTCTTCTGCAGGTAGGAGCTGAGTGAACTCCTAGTACCTCTTTTAATGTACTAGATGTACAAAGATGGTGAGGGGTCTGGAGCACAAGTCTTGTGAGGAGAGGCTGAGGGAGCTGGGGTTATTCAGCCTGGAGAAGAGGAGGCTGAGGGGAGACCTTCTTGCTCTCTACAACTCCCTGAAAGGAGGGTGTAGAGAGGTGGGGGTCGGTCTCTTCTCTCAAGTCACAGGCAACAGGACAAGAGGAAATGGCCTCAAGTTGCACCAGGGGAGGTTCAGGCTGGATATTAGGAACAATTTTTTCACTGAAAGGGTTATCAGACATTGGAATGGGCTGCCCAGAGAGGTGGTTGAGGCACCATCCCTGGAGGTGTTCAAAAGACGGGTTGATGTAGTGCTGGGAGGTCTGGTTTAGTGATGGTGATGCTCCTTGTTTGTTGTGTGGGTGTCTATTTTTGTCAGTCAGGTTGACGGTTGGACAAGATGATCTTTAAGATCCCTTCCAACCTAGAAGATTCTGTGATTCTGTGATTGCCCATGTC